TCCCAAACGTATCTCGACTGCCACATTTTTTTCAGGTGGGTACCTCCTGCTCGTTACTGATCCAAATTACAATTCTGGTACGCTCAAGGAAGGATGAGGATTTGGTAGCACTTGCTTAACATGAAGACTGCAACACAGTTTTTGAATCACAGATTCAAAAACACGGTGGTATTTGCCTTTAGCCTCTGATGCTCAACACAACCCAGACCTGCCTCTTGGGAGCAGGTGGGGGCTCCAGCCAGAAGTACATCCCACGTGCTCAGCACCAAGGCCTCCAAAAGAAACCCAGGAAACCCAGAATGTTTTAAAACTTGCCTTTGTCTTCCCCAGGAGATGTGCTCAGGGTGTTGCCTACGCTTACAGCAGCACCCAGAGGCTCTCGCCTCAGTCAGGTGCTGCCACTCAATCCTTCCTTACGTCCACACCACAAACTCAAGGTGGTCTGTCCTTCATTACTGACCACCAGGAGGGAAGGGGCACTCCTACACCTGCAGCGGAGGCCTGAGCCCTGGCTGCTGCCCCCACAGGGGTGGGGCTGTGGGGCAAGCGTGGCTGGGGTGGCTACTGAAGGTATTTGGCACTGAGGGTGGCCAAAGTGGCAATGAGGATGCATGAGGCGGCTACGCCCAAGGTGGCTACTGAGGGTGCCCAAAGCAGCAATGAGAGTGCCTGAGGCAGCTACTGAGGGTGCCCGAGGCAGCAATGAGGGTGGCCAGGGAGGCAGGGTGGGCACACTGGGCATGTATGGAGGCAGGGTTGTGCAAGCCTGGAGTGTGGGAAGGCAAGGTGGGCACACGAGGGGTGTGAGGCACTTGTGAGGCACCCAGCCATGGCAGGAAGCTCCCCCACAGCAGGGACTTTCCCCTCAGGGCCTTTTCAGCCCCAGCCTCCAGCCAGAGCCCCTCTCCGGCGGGTTTAACCCCAAAAAACCCCACGATGATTTATAACACCCAGCCTTTCCCCTCAGGGATTATCTCCATTCCTGCCCAGGCGCTGCCGGGCCACCTCAAAAACTACCCTAAAGTAAGGTGAAGCCGGCCTGGCGCTGCCGGGGAACGGCTGCGGGGGTGG